CGGTTCTATTCACACATCTGTCTCTTTCTCCAAATTCACCCGGTCGTCCCATTAATTTTATACTCTTTGAACTCCCCCCCTTCCCCCCTCTCTCTCCCTCTCTCGCTCTCCCTTTCTTGTGTCGGCAGCACCACCTGGCCCTGGCGGCGGTCTCGGACATGGTCAAGGCGGCTGTCGCCGTGGAGCTGCTCGGCGCGGGCCTCCTGCTCGTCGGTAAGGCCCTCGAGCGCCTTCCCTCCCCTTCGCGCCAAACAGCACGAGGCACGGCCGCTGCACTGCCCTGCTGCCCTGGGTACTTTTCCTACGGGGGCGGCACTGCGGACACTGCGGCCGGCGCCGTGTCGGCGTGGTGCCGTGAGCCCGGGACCGGGCACGCGACTCCACGCCGCTGGCAGCTTCACCCTCCCCTCCCTCCATGCTCCTCCCCTCCGTGAGCGCCGGGCTATCTCTATGTGCTTTGCAACGGTGTGGACAAACCTGCCAGCCGACAGTTAGTAGTTGGCCTATGGTGTTCTTTTGCTACGATTCATCGCGATAGTGCACAGCAGCCTGTAATCTGTAGAGTGCCGTCGCCTTACCTCCGGTGCACAGCGACTGCCGCCTCCTGCAAGCCACCCTCCTGCAACCCTTCCGGACGACGGCTCGCCCGGCCGTCCGCCACCCCGTCGCTCGGCATGTCGGCCACTGTAAAATCGCCCAGCGCGTCGGCACAGACAGACACGCCGATCTCCGCCGCATCCCTCTACGCCATCTTCTACCTGTGAGTCTCTCTGTCACGGTGTCCTGGTGAACAAACAAAGAAGGGAAACAAACACCATTCAGATCTGGTGCTCACAGGCCCAACGGATCCAACTGGTCCTTCCCACTGTCGCAGGGTGACGCGCTACACAGCCACCCGGACTTCGACGCGGACAAGAACGCCACCGTCTTCTTCGTTCCAGGGTACACCGTGAAGCCGACCGCCGAGGGTGTGCGCCTTGCCATAAAGGGTACGGTGTACGAACAAATGAGTCGTGATGAGTCGTGGTAGGCAGATTTTGCGAGCGCGTCAAAACTTATCTCTCTTTCCCGACTTTCCAGCGTTTACGACCAAACACGAGTCCTTCAACTTTCTCTTGCTGGACTGGACGCTCTACAGCGGTAGACCCTACGTCGCGGCGGCGATGAACATGGGGCAGGTGAGTACTGTCCCGTCCCAGGGGCGGGAGCCAAGCGGACGCCGATAAAGGTTCCGCCTGCCCAAATCACGCAACCAGGTTGGGGGGCGGGGGGGGGGCACCGTCTTTTAATTTGAGCATACTGTGTACAGCGCTCTGGCGTGCGGGCGGCCGTGCTGACCGTCGCTCACCGTGGCGCCTTACGGCCCCCGTTCGATTATGCAAACCCACCCACCCGCACGCCCGCATGCGGTACAGTATATGCGAAATGGAGGAAGGGGTCTGTGGACCACCCTTGAAAACTACCCCGCTCCCCAAAATGCCATAAAGGGTGCCTTTCACGCCCGTATGCAGGTCTTTTGGGGTCGGGGCATTGATGACCATGACCATGTCTGGCGGTGTGCAGGTGGCGGAGCTGCTCGCGGCCTGGCTGGAGAGGCTGCGCGCGGGCGGGCTGGCCGCGGCCCGCATGTGGCTGGTGGGGCAGTCCCTCGGCGCGCACCTCGCCGGCAAGGCGGCCGCCGCCATGGCTGTCCGCCCGGCGCGCGTCACTGGTGCGTGCGCGCCCGCGTCGACGGGGAGGCCGACCCCCCGGGGAGGCCATCCTTCCCACCACCTTGCTATACGTCGTGCTGCCCCCGCAGGCCTGGACCCCGCGCGCCCGCTCTTCTGGTTCGGGTCGCCGCTGACGCGCCTGGACCGCCGGCAGGCGACCTTCGTCGACGTCATCCACACGGACGGCAGTTGGCGGGGCATCGGCGTCCGCGCCAACATCGGGCACCAAGACTTCTGGCCCAACTACGGCGCCGAGCGCCAGCCCGGCTGCCATTCGGGCTGTAAGTAGTACACATACGCGCTCGAGCCGTGTGCACCGGCGCCGTGGAGTGAGTGAGTCGGTGTGTGATCAGTTTCAGGTGCGTATGGTGAAGGGTGAGAGTGCGTGCCGAAGCCCTGCTATGGCGAGTCGCGTCCGCAGGCTGCAGCCACCGGCGCGCGCTCTGGTACTTCGCGGAGAGCGTCCTGAACAGGACCGCCTTCCCCGCCGTGCTCTGCCCGCGGGGGGCGGCCTTCCTCGCGGGGCTCTGCCCGCCCGCCAACTCCACCACGGTCTACATGGGCCTGGCGGCGTCGCCGTGAGTCGCAGCGTTGCCACTTGAGAGTTATTAAAGACCTTGCAATATTCACAAAATGCCCAAAATGTCATGAAAAAACAAGCAACAAAAGAAAGGTTTCCAGTATATTTATATCCTTGAGTGCTCGATAATCGCGTTTGTCTCATTGCAGCAGGTCGGGTCCGGAAGGCAGCTACATGCTGAGGACGGCGGGGGCCTCGCCCTTTGGGCTCGGGTTGGATGGACTCGTGCCGGTCGCAAACGACGTCGTTGACAACGACCCCATCCCCGACAAGGACCCCGTCGCCGACGACCCCGCGGCCAAGGGGGATCCCCTGTGGGAGTGGGCCGTGGAGTACCCGGACGATTAGCTCGGCGCCGTCACGACCCCCCCCCGAGGTCTCACCGTGAGTTTGCGCTGGCTCGCGCCGCTGTGATCCTGGCCGTGTCGAATTGGAGCAGGACTAGGAGGTACGTGAGCGTCGTGGCAATCATCTGCGTAAAAATGACTCCCTTTCAATGTTGATTTTTACAGAGAAACTCCGGGTGTCCTACTCCCATTCATTGAGATGACATCGGCTCCTCACCCCGGACAGCAACCCCATGCCGATCTTTGCTATGCCGGCCACTGAGAAGGACGGCGTCACTGTCTCTAGTTGACTAAGAAACATATTCCACTGCAGAAAAAAAGAATTACATTTATAATAAAGAGCCTACATTTGGCACAAAGTTGTGAGTGCAGCATACACAGAACAAACCCTCTCTTTGCTGTTGGTGTGCCACGTCCCGTAGTCCACGCGGATGCTTCCGTTCACGACCGCCGCGGCCTGAGGGGGCACCAGAGGCGCCAGGCGCCACGGGGCAACAACAGTCAGAACACAACTCTTCCCGGCCCCCACCCTCCTCGACGCCGTGCTCGCCCACTCACCGCGGCCTTGACGGTGTCCGCAGTGGCGCAGATGGCGATGAGGCGGGCCGTGAAGTACACGATGTCGGACTGGTTCGCCATGGAGACGCCCTCGCTGCCGTCGGCGTCCACCAGGCCCTCGAGGATCGCCGAGGCCGCGAAGTACACGCCCGTCAGGAGGCTGAGGAGGCAGGCGGAGACGGTCACGAAGATCTGCGGCCCGAGCAGGCAGTGCAGCTCGCACGTGAGCGACACGAGCTGCTCGTGACTGCGTCTCACCTCGTCCAGCCAGTGCTCTGCACCGACAGAAACCCCGCAATCTTGTTAAAATCTGAATGTTTCAGTGTAGAAACTTGATAACTACTTTTTAGAAGTAATGTTACCTGATGGCGACCGGGAAGGGCCCTGCAGCGCGTAGATGTGCTCCCCGAGCCGCTGGTAGCTGAGCGCCAGAATGGAGCTCATGAACATGTACTGGGTCTCGGTGGCCATGGGCAAGGTGTAGGCCAGCACGGTGCACACCGTGTACAATTCGAAGGAGAGGCCTTTCACGTGCTGGAACTCGCGGAACATGTCGATGAAGTAGATGGCGGCGGGCAGGGCTGTCGACCTCAGCGCCCAGCCGCGCGGCCACACTACAAGGAGCAACGCCTCATTATTGGTCACCGTTTGCGGGGCAGCGTTCAGGTGGTCCCATAATGGTCACCCATCACACCCGTCTCGACCGTCGCGCGAGTCACGAAGGGTGTAATTATGGGTGCGACGGGTGACCACTGTGGGGCCACCTTTAGCGATGCGAGCGGTAGGCGGGGTGCTGACCTTGCTGGTTCGCGGGTCGCAGCTCCCTGGCGAGCAGGAGCAGGCTGTTGGAGAAGCGCTCCAGGCGGCGCCCGTAGCACAGCGCGCCGAGCGCGCAGGGCAGGCCGCTCACTGCGTAAAAGATCAGCGACCATCGCTGAAGGGTGCCCTTCAGCCCTTGGCCGGGCTGGACAAGATGGACTACAATGTGTATTGCGAATTGTAATGGTGACATGATATTGCGGAACCGGGAAGAAAGAAGGGAAAGAAAGTCAACGGTGACGCCAGAGGATAGTGGGGCAAGGGGGGCGGGTGCTTTTCTTCTTTAGATAGTTGTGTAGTCCGTCTCACCAGTTTGACGACGGCGAAGAAGTTGTAGAAGCAGACGGAGCTGGTGAACACGCCGACCACCGAGAACAGCTGGAGGAGCCGACTCAATTGCCAGATGGGGGTGCGCGCCCCCACGCCGCCCAGCCGCCGCAGCGGGAAGACCCCCAGCAGCTGCCCCACCACCACCAGCTGCAGCCGCCACGGGGACGGGTAGCTGGGCACCCCCTGTAGCAGATGGAGCTGTCTGCTGTCGCTCGCCGCCATTCTGGGGGAGGTGTGCCTCTCCCCTGCGAGCAGCTCCCGCACGCACTAGCCGGGGGGCACCTGGACGAGGGGCCCACCTCAGCTTTTGCAGCAGTAGATCGTTACCGCGCGCAATTAGAGCGACCACGGGGCTTGACTTGGCCGCTTCTAAAGAGCCTCGCCCCGCTCGATGCTCGCTGTCGCAACCGCCGGCCGCCTGGTGGGTAGGCCACCCGACCTGCGCCCGGCCCGTGGTGCTGTCCGCCCAGGTCCACGACAGGCGTCCCCACGGCCAGCTTTATCTTTGATCCGAACCGACTGTCGCTGATCTCTCTCCGCGAGAGTCGCCCTAGCAGCGATTTATTGGCTGAGCGCGCCTGGCGGATAGGCAATCCCAGTGGCCGATTCAGTTTTGTAGCCGCATCTCTGTGCATCTTTCAAACGGGGACGTATTTTGGCCGAACCGCGTGCGACCACAAACAGGGACGTCTGTTCGAGTAGGGTAGGAGCCGCGCGCCCCCGGACGGCCCCACAGTGAACGTTTGAGGGGCCTGGCCTGGCGGGCGATTTTTCAGATTTTGAAATGGTTTTATTGAAGTCAAATTAAGGTACATTTGGATTTTACATAGGTTAATGTGCTGTTGCCCGTGCGTAGGCCTTACAGTATTCGGGGGAGGGGGGGGGGATACTCAAACTCTGAACAACGCCTGCTGAGCGCGGGGTAGGCAAGCCCTCTGAGCAGCTGTGTGGAGCCAGCGGCCCGCCCTGAGCAAACCAGAGCGCGCGCCTAAGGAGTGCGGGACTTCGGGCATGAGAATCTTTGACGCCTAGTTCCGTCGCTTGCCAGCATTGAGAGAGGGTGGTTCCGAGCGGCAGGCCGGTGTACTGTTCTTAAACCATTGACTACCAGTTCCCACACGTTTACCGAGGGCTCCCAAAATATGTTTTCCTACCCCCACTTTGGCCGGAATGGTATATGAGCTTCTCCGAAAGCGCTGCACAACCAATCCAATTAATCTTCATGTATCACAATCGGTCACTCTCAGACTGTGCTCATAATTATTTGTGTAGAGTCTTGTCTTTCACAGGGTCATAAAAGGAACTAAGGTTCAAAGATTTTTTTAAATCAAAAAATTCAAAAAATTCAAAACATACTTATTTATTTGTATAAATTTACACAAGAAGATACTTAACATACTTATTCATCCAAATTAATTACAGCCGCTGGCTGCTTGGAGTCTTTCATGACCAATTTCTTCGGTGCACGTATCTTACGACCAAACCGCCCAGTCTTCCTTTGCCAAAGACCGGAACGGGGTCGAAAACCTAATTGCCGCCACTTTTGGGCACTCCCGATTGGTGTTCTTGCATGCTCAATATTACTTACTCTTCCCACACATGCCATACACTTAGGATCTACAACAAACTCATGTTTTGAGGGCATTTTTATTATGACATGAGTTTTATTATTCTTTAAGATGGTTGCAAAAGTTCCAGCAGAATGAAGTAATCTATTCTTGGCATTAGGAGTCTTCTGTAGATTGTGAATCATGGTACCGACTGGTAGGGCTCCAACTGGATAGGCATCACCTTCATTAGGTGTAACGGCTATAGGTGGGATGTAGCTTGATGTTCTGACAATGTCTCCCGGTTTCATGTTTACAGTTGCCAGGTAGTACTTCATTTTATCACCACCCGCGACTAGGGCTAGTCTTGCACTCCGATTTCCATCAAATACAATTTGTATAACTTTTTCTTCAATGGGAGGTACATCCGTAGTTGGGCCGTTTCTGTCCCAATGGACCCAGTGGTACTTATGCTTGATTCCTCCACCCCATCCTTGAACAACTTTCCTTCCTGTTACTGGATCACGTCCTCCAAGCCCTTGCACTGTCAAAGGTTTGACAGTGTACTCATCTTCATAGTGGACAATCCGTTTCAGACAAACTCCTACATCACCAGCTTTGGGACGAGGCTTAAGATACTGGTCGTACAACGATGGCATCTTCTTGGAAGCAAATCTCACTTGACTTGTAGTTATCCCACATGTTCCGGATAAAGACGTGACAGCTTTCAATTGGAATGCTAGGGTATTAAAGAAGAATGACATGGTGTTTTAACAGAAAAACACCATCAACAAACTTAGGTTATGCAGGTTCTGACCATCCTCGCAAGCCGTAGCAGACGACACGATAGCTGCGATCTGCTTCTAGACTTTGGATGAAAAATTCGACTTGCTTCAAGTCTCTAAACAATAGCCGCTAGATAGCCGTTTTCTTTTCCCCTCATTATTTTTTAGAATGAGTTGTCCCGTGTTTCCCGGCTTCTGCCAAAAAATATTCGAAGCGTTTATGATATGATGTTACCATAAGTTGAGCGGTTGGCGCTGACTTCTCTGGGTTTTTTTCATCATAAAATAGTCTCTCTCTGGAGCTACGAGCTATAGCAATACGACACTATTGCATTCGGGCTTTCGGGGTCGGGCTGTCTGCTGTGCAAATGTTTTGGTTGTTAATTCTGCAGTTTTCTTTGAGCTAGAAAAATCTCAATCGACAACATAAAATGGTAATAATGATGGCTTAGATTGCCGTTTGGTCGTGTCGACGCGGTAATTTTGAAGGAAATTATGAGTTTAGTACGAAACAACGGTGCAGACATGGTTTCAGGTCAAGAGGGTGTGTGTCAAGGTATGTATGCTCAGACAAAGTGAACTGTTGATAGAATAGTCTGTGCTGATCCAATAGTTTGGGTGTCCTCTTTCTATTATTTGTGCTTTTGTTTTATTTTTATATAAAGTATTGATGTGCGCCTTTAATTCTCTCTTGTTTTTGTAATATTTACGAATGAACTCTTTTGCTATCGAGGTAAATTAATTAATTGAAATGGATTGCCCACGTCGCAATAACAGTTTTGTTTAAAACTATCTATTAATAGACTGTTTCTTCTTAGGAGAGGAGACAGAGCCTGTTGTGATAACTCCAGATGATGTCTTAAAGATGACCAGGATATCTGATGGTAATTTGGCCTTTCGAATGGGCTTAATCTCCTGCTAGCAAATAAGAGCCACTTTCATGTCTATCTCACGTTTGCCTTTTCCCACCAGGTTTTTTATGTTCACCTGAGGCTAACATTTATGACATTGATTTCACACGATTCAAAATAAGAGACCTTGAGACTGGCACAGTTCTCTTTGAAATAGCAAAACCTCAATCTGGAGGTGAGTAATAAATTTAGATGTAAGATTTTAGAAATAGCTGCAATCCTTTAGTTTCTATGTTTTTAAATTGTAAATTGTAGCACAGTTATCTTCATTATTCCAGACAGTGTGGAAACTCCTACTGATGAGGAAGAACCAGCAGATCCTAATGCTGGAAGGTTCATCCGCTACGAATTCACTCCAAACTTCCTCAAGTTAAAGGCTGTTGGATCAACGTATGTTCAAAATTTGTATTCTCTAAATTTAATGATTATTTAAACTTGATACCTTGATCTCTCATTTTCTTTTTATTCCAGTGTTGAGTTTCGTGTTGGTGCACAGCCTGTCAACAAATTTCGAATGATAGAGAGACATTTCTTTCGGGACAAATTGTTGAAGACGTTTGATTTTGAATTTGGATTCTGCATCCCATTCAGCAGTAACACATGTGAACACATTTATGAGTTTCCTCCCCTTGCTCCTGATTTGAGTGAGTAATTGTTTATTGGTACTGGTCTATTGTTAACAAAGTCACAGTTTACATCATAAGCTTTCCAAACATTGCAGTTGAAGAAATGATAAATCATCCATTTGAAACACGTTCTGACTCCTTCTACTTTGTGGACAACCATCTAATCATGCACAACAAGGCTGATTATGCTTACAATGGTGGATTGGGCTCTTCAGTGTCTTCTTCAGCTGGTGATGGGCAAGAGGTAGACAAATAATTTTCATCTAGATGTATAAAGTGTCCTGTTGAGGTGACAATCATTGAGGATTCTTTTATTTTCATTCTGAGACTCATCAAATAACTGAGCCATTCGCTGTTTGCATGTTTTGAAGTCTGTACGCATTTGCTTTCATTTAGTCTGATTGTTGCAGATGTTTTAAAGTGGCTCTTATTTTTTAATTTTTTAATTTATTTAATATTGTATGTGTTCTTAAAAAGTGTGCAACAAAAAATTAACGCACTTGTTATGACATTCTTATTTTATTGTTTAGAATAGTTTAAGAGCTTTTTACTACCTTGTTGATCTCAAACTTTTACAGATATCTTTTTCTATTGTTTTGTGTGGTGTGTGTGTGTGTGTTTTTTTTGTTGTTTTTTTTTAATACACTTTTGCTTAAAGGTGAATAAATTCCCTCTGTGATCATATTATTACTGAATTATGTGTTAATTATTGTGTTGCATTCCTTTGTGTTGAACAAGCTTCATTTTGAAGAAGCATAAAGGTGTAAGAGTAATTGTAACAAAGAAATGTTTTGTAAAATATCCTCTGAAGTCCATGTCTTCTTTCAATGTCACTCACTCCTAGGAGCAGAATGATGCCAGAATGGATCCTAAATGTGAATGTTTGGAAGAATATACTTGTTACAAACCAGTTTACCAGACCATACAAAGTGTTGAGTCTAAAAAAAACTTTGTATTGTAGAAATTTTTAAGCTTTTACCTAAGTCTAATGAGCACTTGAGTGCAATCATTGTTGTTCAGGCTTTTCACCATTTGTAGTTGTGCCACCTTGTTACACAAGCAGGTTCCACAGCATCTAAATAATTTTGACTGATTCTTCATACCTCTTTTCCATGACAGAAAGAACTACACTTTGTTGTCAACCATGTGACTATTCTGTCTCAGGCCCTTCAGAATTACCATCTATGTGCCTTATTCAAAACTACAAGGAATAGGATTTTATTCCTTTTTGTTGAATTTCCCTTGTCACCAGTCAAACTGTGTGTTGTAGTGTTAATATATTGAAGATCAACTTTTCTACTTTCTTATGGGGACCAGTGTTCCAGAAATATTCATTCTCAGGTGAGAAAAGGATATGATGGTTAAAACAGAACAACCAACAACTTTGCGTTTAGAGTCAAATTTGCAGTTCAACTGCTTAATTTAATTATTACAAATTTCATAATTACTATCCTAATGATCATTGTTTTCAAATTACTTTTGTGCAACTCTTGCTTTGCATTACAAACACTTATTATGGCCATTATCATTCATCATGTCTGTTTGCTGCAATTTTCTTTCTCCGACCTGCGTGTTCTATTAGTGTATCTTGCTCATTTATTTTTTTAGTTTAAGTAAACCCTTAGTTGAAAAAAATTTGTCAGTTTATCTGTGATCATAAACATTATAATTTTTCCTTCATTTTTCACTGTTTTATGTGCGTGATATTTGCACTTACTTTTAAGGTTCCTACTTTATGTGTGACTGCTTTAAACTCCTTTCTTACTGCTTCATTCTTGATTACTGAAGTGCTTAGTTTATGTGAAGTGGGTGGTGTCAACTGAAAAATGTATTCATTAAAATTCCAAGAAGTAATTGGTTCACAAATAATGAGATGTTAAATAGTTTGTTACTTCCGCAGCTGTGAGGTATTTCAATTTCGTTCACATACAGTGTCTTGTCTAATGTGCAATAAATTAATTGCGGGTAAACGACTTTTTATAACTCTTTTACAATCTGATTAGAACAATACAGGAATGCAAATTCATACTGTACTAGTTAGGTACCGACGTTTAAATTAACTTTTATATTTCAACAAGTGTTCAACACAATTGATAAGAATGCTCTGATCATAAAAAAAATATTGAAGAAAAAGTCATTTTTTAAATGTAAATTTACATTAAGTCAAATATCTAACCTTAGAACTGTACATAACACAGAGATCGTTGACTTCAAGTTGAGTGGCAGTAACAACATCCAATTTGAAGAGCATTTTATGTATCAGTCCATAATATTTATCTTGTCCGTTTGGGTCCAAAAATGAGATCTGCATCAGGTGCACCTTTTGGATGTTGGTAACGGTTGCGTCTTTCCCGATTAAGATTCACTGTGGCAGGTCGCTGAAACTTAACAGCATGAAAAGTCAAACATTCACAGCATAGACTTTGTCTCCCTCCACTGAAGTATTGAATGGCCTAGACTTACCGACGCAAGCATGTCTTGGTAATCTTCTTCTTCCAGTCTTTCATTAATATCTAAGGTTAGCCTCTTTACTTTTTCCATTTCCATTCGTTCAGCCTGATTGGCAAAAGAGAACAAGGTGCAGACAGTTTTACACAGATTTCCTGATGCACAGTTTAATATTCATTTATTGAAACTTTACCTGTTCTTGACATCTCAGATTTAAAGCCAACTCTGAGCTCACTGGTACAGAAAGGTTACGGAATGATTGCTTGTTTCCCCTTCTTGTTAGCAGAGTAAAATTGACAGTGCTTTGCTCAGCATTTAGATTTTCATTTGCCTCTTGAAGTTGCTCTGATTAAAATTGAGAATAGAAAACAGTTTTAGGACAATAATCCACAATACAGTACAATAGAGGAAGAATACAACAATAGGAAGGAGGATGTTAAATTACCATATGTCTTTTTGTGATTGGTCCGAATATGGAATGGGATTGAGATGTCCACAGTATGTGGCTTCGACATATTACGTGCATGATCTTGGATGCTGCATGAGACCATCTGTTCCAGTTCATCCATAAACTCCTTATCCTCATGGCTTGCTTCTTCCTGCTCCTTTACAACATCAACCAAATATTGTAAAATAAAATTAATAACATACTGGTCAAGTCTTGGGTGAGATAGTACCTTTCGTTTGATTTTCACCACATCGCCATCATGGTTATCAATACCAGCAGAATCAGACATGTCTTCTTCATCATCATTATCATCATCTTCATCATCCAATATATTGTCCAACTCATCTTCATATGGAGATTCAGCCCCATTATCTTCTTCTGTTTCTACATGGTTGGACAAAAATATTAAAACTTTATTAAATTTGGAATAAAAAAAACACTTGCACTGAAACAACTGTTATATTTTCCTCTCACCATCCATAGAACTTGTGTCATCAGTGTTCTCTCTTTCACCATCAGTTTCTCTTTCTGAATCCTCTGTTATGGTGCCAAGCTCACCATTGTCACCTGGCGCATCCTACAGCGTTCAGAAAGAATTAATAACCAAACACACATCAATGTAATCTACAAGTAAATTTTCAAAGTACAGAATATAGAAATTAAGCTTACTGTTAATTTAGGTAATTGCGCAAGTAGCTTTGACTCTAAAAGCTCAACTGCAGAAACTGCCTCTTCAATATTCTTAGCAAGTGTAAGAGTAGGTCTTAATCCTAAAATTGCATCTTCAAACATGTATTCTATTGACATTGGGAAAGGAGATGGCCCATCACCTGCCCCTGTTAGAGCGCTAACTGTGTCTCCTGAAGCCCAGTAACCACTCTCCCTTTTCATCCAATAGTAATGCTGAAATACAAGACTAGTTTAGAAATATTTTCCATTAAGTTAGCTCCAGGAGGGCTTGTTGCAGTTCTTACCTGGAAGAAGACAATGAAGTAGTCAAGTTTTTGTTTGCTAGGCCCACTATTAAAAAACTGTCCACAAGTGAATAATAAAGTGCAAACTAAACGAATTCGGAAAAGATGATCAGGAGGATCAAGAAGAGCTGGATTGGCTGGGTCATATGATACACCAAATTTAATAAGAGAGTACAAAACCTTGAGGAAAAATAGAAAAATAAAGTATTAAAAAAGAAAAAGAAAATGGATTCCTTTAAGGTAGAAAAAAGAATATTAAAGTTAATAATCAACCTTGAATATATCATTGCTCTCAACAACACGGTAATTATAAAGCTCTCCTAAGTATTTGATCATAGCCACTCGTCGTTGATTAAGTTTGGCATGATTAATTTCCATGCACACTCTTATGTCCTCCAAAACACCATCTACAACCATTGGAGCCACACTTTCCTGAAAAAAATATAAAATGCGTCTGTAGAATACCTATGTTTAGAGGAGTAAACAGTTGCAAGGTCGAATGGCAAAGAAAATAGTTATTTGTACCTGGTGGACAGCTAAGCCTGCCACTAGGCTTGCTAGACACCTAATATTGTAGTATTTCACATTCCAGGCAGCTGTTAGACACTTTATAGTGTAGGCTGCCAAGTCTTTATCTTCCCAGTTTAATCTTCTAATAAGTCTGAAAACCTATTGGACACAATTAACAATTAGAACTGGTTTGCTTGTCAAAAAAATACAAAAAATAAAATTGAGAGACAAACACCTTGTCAGTTGTGGGTTTGCTTAGATCCTGATATAGAATTTTACGAACAAAGGAATGGATCGGAGGGCGTTCTTTCACTTTCAATGTCCCACCTTCTGGTGGATTGACAAAGAAAAATGCATTTTCTATCATTGTGACATATCTTACATCCATTGTAAGGGCTGACTTTTTTCGCATCATTTGCTCCTGGAATGTAATTGTTGGTAGTTCAGAGCCTAAAAGTTTTAATAGTAGATCCAAACAGCAAAAGGATTTGTTGTGTACTAACAAGGTAAATTTTTGTGCGTTGATGAGACTCTGTTCTGCGCAAAAAGTAGCGACCACATGTTTCAAGAAGGGCACAAGCCATGTCAACATGATGATGGGTAAAATCATGAAGAAGAACTTTTAGACAATACAATCCCTCAATGAGAGGATACATTTTAAACTTGACAAGCTCTCCAATGAAACGGACAACCTTGATTTTACTTTCAATGTTGATTTGGTCCTATACAATTGAAATACCAACTAATTAACAGACAAGAAATCAATAGAAATAAAAATCTAATAATAACTGAATTGTATTAACTGTACCTTTTTGCACACATGATAAATGAAATCTTGTTTGAGCATGTGGCATAAATCTTGAGCAATTTCAGGTACAACAGGATGTAAAGTGGCCACAAGCCTTGCATAAAATGGTAACAGATCTAGTCTAGTTCTTGGTACACCAAATAAGACCCTAGTAAGAATTTTTAAATTACACTTCATTGTTGAAAAAGTGAAATAGAAATACAGATAATTCAGATATAAAAACATGTCCTTTTGAAAAAAGTATTTTCCTCAACTTACCGAACAAGCTTTCGTTTATTATTTTTGGAATTAAGGGATAGCAGATACTCAGCAGCTGCATTATCAACCAGTTCTCGATTTACGCAATTAGGAAGATGATTTAAAAACTGCTCTAAGTGTTGTTTTGAGGACTGAGTTATTAAACTGGTAAGTTGTTCAACTTCATCCGGTTCTAAAAATAATAAAATGGTCAGAATAAATGACAAATATTGTTTTGAAGGGACTTGTGTTAAGTGAAGGTTTGAATTACCATCTTCAACATTTGCAGGTTCAACAACATCTGGGTTTCCAAGATCTTCCTCTCTTAGTTCAGCATCAAGAACTTCCTCAGTCACTTGGGCAACAGGGGTTGGTGAGGGTGAAGATCCAAGTTCTCTTTCACGTGATTTGATACCTGGCAGGTAATCTCTCATGTTTGGAAAATCTTCATAAAACCTTTGAGTTTCTTCATCTTCCCATAATCCTCCAACAAGTCCAGATAGACCAGAAAACATTCCATCATCTCCATCAGAGAAGCCTCCAATCCCACTGACTACAAGTCCTGAATCATCTTCACATTTGATGGCTGAAAAGATAGATAGATAGACAGTAGATAAGTGTCCCAATTCTCAAATTTAGGAGAAAGGAAAGAAAAGCAAGATGAAATATCAATTTGCTAAAATACACTTACGATCTTCTGGGAGTTTTGGCATTGGCTGGTCTAGAACATCTGCAAAAGCTTGGGCAGAATTAAGAAGCTTTTGATACTGTTGCTGCAAATTTTCTAAGCGTTCTTTACGTTCAGCATTAAGTTCTCCTTTTGTCTGAAGGATTCTTCTATTTTGTCGTTCAAGTGCCTGAAGATCTCTATGATCCTAGTGAAACTTGCATTAGTAATTATGTTTTTCATTGGGTACTAAAAAGATGTAGAATTAAATTTGACCACTTACTTTCAAAAGGTGCTTGCACAAGGATGCAAAATAATCACTCAAAAGAGTGCGAACAGCCTTCTGTTTTTCAGGTAGCAAAAGTGTACTTCGCGGAACCTCTCTATTAAGTAGCACAGCAGCATTTTTCAAGCACGCTGGGATCAACCCTTTATTAAAACCCAAGATAGATGTTTATATATAGGATAGATTGATAAATCATCAAATAAATACAGCAAAAAATAAAGGAACAATTATAATTACCAGCATAATCCTCCCCACAATGTTTACAGAAGCTCAAAATTATACTGGCATTGTTATGATCTTCCTTGTCGGCATTAATCAAAGCGGAGAGAATCTGACCAAGAAGTGTTAGAGCCTCTTTTAGGGGAAAGAGCGCCACACTAACCAGATCTCCATACAGACGAAGATCAACTCTTAATTTGGATGGATTGGCCACCTGGTTTGCAAAGAAAATAATTAGAACACATGTACTGTAACTGTAACAATAATAAACCAATAATCATTTTAACACAAACCTTTTCATCTTTTTTCAGGGATAATACTTTCTGCCAATTTTCAAGGAGAAGTGGGGCAAACTCTGCATAGGTTTGATGAAACAAACTGCACAGCACAACAGCTGCTCCAACATCAGTAACCTGACATTTAAATATTACAGAATGGTTACTTTAGGATTTTCAACGAACTACTGTCACATGTTCTAAGAGAACTGTTAAATCTTTATACCTTCAACTTAGCTTCAACAATGGCTGCTGCTGCTTCACTCAAATACTTAGATAGATTCAATGTTGACATGTCTCTAACAAGGCCCTCCAGTTGAGCCACAGTAAAATTACGCTGTTTTCACGGAAAAAATATTTCATTAAGTATGTTGGCAATAGTTCCAAGCGCTTCCTAGCAACATTAAATGTAATTCAAAATTGATACTTACAAGTTTACGTACAAATCCTGAATTTTTCTTCAGATTGGAATCCAAATTTGCAATATCGCGTTCGTCAGGGCGGGATGCAGCAGCGCGCTGGTTTAAAAGCCTCAGTTTAGCTTTAAATGCAAGTCTAACATCTAGTTCATGTAAAATGTGTTGAGCACCAGCCTAGAATAAAATAATGGCATGTATCACAAAATCAACTTTAAAAATTACCCTGAACATACTGAACATATTTTCCGCTGCCAGTTACCTTCTGAGAGTCATCTACAGGGTTTGTATCAACAGGATTATCTTTAATATTATCACTGCTTTCTGCATCTTTGGACAATGTATTAGGCAGCACACCTGCTCCAGATATTGTATTTTCTAATGTGGACTGAGGGTCCTGAGGGCTTCCAGTAGATTCAGCTTGGAGTGAATCCTCTTGAAAGTTGGAATTTGATACAGCAACAACAATTGAGGATTTTGAAGAAGGTAGCAGCAGTGGCTCTGTATCTTCCTATAATGAAAAAGGGCTAAAATTAATAAGTTTTACACATGAATTCTTTGAGAAGATTTTACTTCAGACAAATACTTTGAACACTATTTTTGCCAGCCATTCATATGATCCTTCAGCTGGTGCTTGAACGGTTGATCCAGTAGCATCATCCATGCTGGGGGCAAAAGAAAGCCAAAGGGAGTAGGATTAAGGAATGTACACAGAATTTATTTGGAATTCCCTCCACCCCTCCCCACATATATATCAAGTAATATCCTTACATGTCAGAAGTGATGGCACCTGGTGCAACAACAGAGGCCTCTTCAATAGCCATCCCAAAACTACACTCGCAGCTCACACACTAACTACAGAAAAAAAACCACGATAAAGCTCAGCTTCAATTCTGACCACTATTCGAAACAAATAAATAAATTTGAGAATATTAACAGGAAAAGAGAGGAACTAAGGATATTATTCATGGAAGTAAATAAAAAATAGTACATGAACATTCAGTTGTGTTGACAGGTGGGACATTTCCGTGAACCAATGTTGATTTTAACAAAAATTTCAAAAAAAAAAGTAGGAGTTGAAAATAAAATCAGTTACAACAAAACAAAAGAGCCACTGTTTGACGGAAAGAGAAGAGATAGCCTGATCTTGCATGGACCTAACCTAACTTTTCCGGCCCTTTTCACTAATCGATTTGGAACCTTGACAAATGCCAGATGATACTAACTTTTACCGCTTAGTTTTCATGATGAAAACACAGAAACGTTCAAAGCGAACTTTCCTACGAACAGTTTGAAGTTCAAATGAAGATCACAATAAATCTAACACAATCAAAGACACACACAAAACATCAAATCGGTCTGTATTCTGCAGAGACAGAGGGCAGGATGGCAGTGCGAAGTGCGAAACGAAACAAACTAAAGCTGGTTGCATACTCATCAGGCGTGCAAGCAAACCAAACCATGTTGACTTTGCCGTAGGTCAGTTGAGATCACCAGGATGAGTACTTTGATGATAATTTAAATGTTCAAAATACATCAGTCCAGGGCTCTGATTTTTGTTTTGACGAAACTATGGCTGTTATTGATGATTTGGCTGTTGTCATGGAAGAGAACAAGCGTGGTATTCAGGTAACTAAATATAGAGGTGTCCTACTTATAGGACAAGCTAGATGTGGTATATATACGAGGTATATACTACGATAAACTGACAGCTATCATTATACCTTGTGGTTGGTGTAGATTACTTGAGATTGTTGTTTACCCTCTACTTGTATATCTTCTGTTTGTAGTACGGATTATATTCTACTGCTCTCTTCGGACTAGCTATAGCACTGCGAAGTGTACGACCGGTGAGAATTCCCTGGAGTGCTTGTCCCTTTCTATCTGAAATATTTTGCTAAAAATAGTCTTCTGTTATAGTTCAAGAAGTTTACAACACCTCAATCTTTGCCATCATCATTTCTAAAGAAACACATCACACTGTACGGCCAAGTAATAGAGGTGGAGCCCAATGGTCTATTAAAAGTAAATCACTTTCCGATTTGGCCACTTCCAGGCCAAAGCTCCTCCTTACTACCCATTCAAATTGACAGCATTCAAACAGTTGGACTAAGTACAGCCTGGTTGAGCACTGTGGTAAAAGGCAGTAAAATTAAATTTCAACCTATAATGGTGCAAGACAATGCCTTATCATGCATTGTGATAAGGGAGGCAAGTACCGATTCAATTCCACAATGATACCATATTTTATCTGCAACATTTACAATGCTTACTGTTTTTATTGCAGGGAAAAAATATTGGTACACAACTAGTTTCCATAGGTTTTGCATCTGTGAAACCCATTCATACTTCATTAGATAACAGCAAACTGTACCTAAGATACTATAAAGAGTTGTTGGCCGCAGAAGATAAAGCAGAGAAGAAGAAACTGGGAATGTGGAATGATAAGCTCTAAGCAGGATACCTAATTTGATGAGTTTGAATCTGTCGAGATGCTTTTGAAAGCACATATATTTTCCTTGAGTGTCGTGCCATTGAATCTTCTGCATTCATAAATAATTTATCAGTATTATAAAAATTATTTTGTAAGCATATTAATAGTAGCATAAGTATAAAAAGTTTATCATTGACAAATTTTTAAAATAAAGTGAAAAAGATTTTAAGGTAGAAAAAGTTTATACTAAGATTTACACAACACATTGATATAAAAATGCATGACAAATTATGTTCTTCAAGGTGTTCAGGAAACCAAAGAAACATGTCAAAAATTGGCGTGCAGTAGGAAACAGCAATTAGCCTTCAGTTTCCTGGACACCTTGAAAATTCACACTAATATTACATAATCATTAGTGGAAAAGTGATACATAAATACGATTAATTAACAAATATAATACTGTTAGCCACAAATAAAAATAAACAGTTTCCCATAGAAAAACCTAATTGTGCTTAGATTAGGGGAATGGATCTTCACAAGTAAAAATACTGCAAAATCCACTTGAAAATGATAGCTCACGAAGAAATAACCATGGACAAATAACCAAGTTGGAGCAGTATTATTTACCAAGACGGAGCAGTATTATTTAATGATGTTGCATCAGTACGTGAGGTATCCCATAGCTCACACATCTTGCAATTAGCTTCATTGTAATTAATGTACTAATAGGGCAAAAACTAAGTGAAAATGGTGAGTAGAAGATGAGACATCACAGGAATGGAATCACAGTGTTATCTGTACTGCCAGATAAACATGAATAGATGATTAAAAAAAAACAATTACAGACATAAGAGATTCAAACAACTTGATTGTGTTCAGTACTGTAATACTAGAAGTTCTCATGTTTTGGACAAGATTCAATAGATTAGGTAATCTATTATGAAAGCAAAAATCTATATTATTGCAATAGTATTTGAAATCTATGTAGAAAATGCAAAATGAGAAAGGCATGTGCTTCTAATACAGGTAAGTATGATGACGGAATTGCTTCTTGCTTCAGTTATCATAACATTATGATAGTCCTTTGAATATCTAATGGAATAGTGATCCCTTTTCTTTAGACCAAGTTGAACCGTACGGGCTTGCTCTCTGCCGTGAACTGAAAAAGGTATCAAAGTTTAAAATTTAATTGCAAGTGTTAGCCATTAAATCATGAGGACCTTATTTCTCTTCCAGGTTTTGCAATTTAACTAACGCTTACCTTCGTCGAGGGGTAATAACTTTCCCTCCATAGCTTTGATTTTCTTTGTCGGGTAGAGATTTAGCTCCACTTTGAGGTGTTTCAATACCAAACGGGCTGTACAATTTTGTTGGTGTTCGTCCCAAAATACATTTACTCCTTGTGCGTGGCGTCACTGCTTGGGGTGACTCATTTTCAAGCCTGTAGCGACGTCTGGTTGATGTGCGAAATCTCTGCAAAAGTAAGAAGTAACTTACTGGATCGAGAATTTACAAATCATTCATAGACTTTAACACCCACCAACATACCTGAGATAGTGTGTCAATTGAGTTCCGAACTGTAGCAATAGTCTTTGATATTTTATCTGCTCCAGATCGTAGCATCCTTCTAGGTTGCACTGAAGGCAGAGAGATATTGAAATCAGACCAGTTACGTGTGTGACTGCGGTTGCTTCGGTTTTGGGATTTGTGGTCACGACTCAGTGCATAAGGACATTCTTGATCAAACCGGTCCTGCAGTCGCTGTCGAGTGGATGATTGTAAGATTCTTCTTGAAGCGCCACCCGTTGAATCATTTTTTCCTGAAGGTTTACCCTCTACTCGATTTTCCGAGGGGTTTTTGTGGAACGTAAAAGAAACGCTACGAACATTACTCGACCTCATTGTTCTTGTATGTTTTGACAAAAATTACTATCCCATGAGGCGGCTGCTGCTTAGAGTAACGGTTTGTTTTTGTATTTCAAACGGCAGCTGAGAGCAAGTGGTGCCACCATTCCGGTTCGCTTCTGCTTTGGCATCAGGGAGAGAACGAAGAATGAAGCCGAAGATTGCCGAAAATTTCGAAGTGACCCGAACCAAGAACAAAAGAAAGTTTCCGGCGCCTTGACGTCTGCTAGATAGCGGCTTTATCATCCGGAATCCGGATCAAGTCAAGTTTTCTGGCACATGCTTGAAGAAGCTTGAAGTCTAACGTTTGGAAACGAAATCGTCTCACAAACACAAACTTTGAATAGCATTCGAAATCTTCAGCTTCAAGCAGACTCATCACAATAATGGCAGACAAAGTACAGAAGAGAGGAATCTTTGGTGCGGTCAAATCAATTTACCAAGACCCCTACATGTGGTAGGTTACGTTAACTATTTTTTAAAATTTTGCTATATCTTTTTGGATGAAGACCGAACTTTTGTTTCATCGTGACCCCCCTTTCATTCATTTGACTCATAAAAAATAATCTCTAACAATCTATTTTATTAAGCCCATTTGTTATTTTGTTGCAGGTCAGTCGTCAAGAGTGTGTCATTCTTTGCTTTGGGTGTTCACATTGCTCGTCAATGTGTTGGTCTTGATGTCATGGGACCACCACAGTAGAGTAGAATCAACAAAAATCAAGAAGATGGCTTCACTACAGATATCACCGCTTCTATTACTGCTGTCATATCTTTGTTTTGTAGTCAGCAAGAGCAACATTGTTTTGATTTTAAGTGATGATCAAGACACACTCAGTTTTGTAAGTGATGTGAAGATGTGATTAGCTCCTTGATTATTTTTTAATTTAATGTGCAATTAGAAGTAAGCTTAATGTGTATCAAAATCTCAGGTTGTGCCCAATGTATTCAAGTGTCCGTGTTGTGAAGCAGATGGCTTTGACCTCATCAATAAATGGATGGTGTTTCTAATAATTGTCATTATTAATTTTTACTTCTTTTGTCAGGCCCCTTTGACAAAGACGATGAAACTAGTCGCAAGCAAGGGTGCCACTTTAAAGAATTCGGTAAGGAATCCCTTTCATTGAAATTCCACGTCTTTTACCATGTACAACAAAACAAAAGAACTTTTTTTTTACATTTTTTTTACAGTTTGTAAACACTCCTTTATGCTGTCCAAGTCGATCCACTTTATTGACAGGCCTATACCAGCATAATACTGGAGTCTTAAATAATTCCATTGAAGGAAACTGCAATTCCAATAAGTGGCAGAGGAGATATGAACCCCTCACATTTGCACAAGAATTTCTAACTGCAGGATACAAAACTTTTTATGCTGGGAAATACCTTAATCAGGTACCCGGGCAGTGTACGTTGTACTTATTATGTGATTTCCCCAACATTTAAAGAAACTGTCTGGTCAATTTCAGTATGGTTCTCATAAGACTGGGGGCTTAAGTCACGTACCTAAAGGGTGGCAATGGTGGGCAGGATTGAAAGGAAACTCACGATACTACAACTATACTTTATCAATTAATGGTACTGCAAGGCATTTTCCTACTTCATATTTAACAGACCACATTGTAAGTAACTGTTTAAAATATACAAGTGGTAGTGCCTGCTAAGAAGTAAAGATCTAAAGAATCTTGGGTGTTTTCAGTATGAAATGGCATTGGAATTTCTTAAAGGTCAGTCTCTACAAACGACTCCTTTCCTTATGATGCTGGCTCCACCAGCACCACATGCCCCATATATACCTTCTCCGAAATATGCAAAGCTCCACCTTAATACTTCTGTTCCTCGGACACCCAACTTTAACCCATCTATGCAGAAGGTCTTTCTCATAATATGTTTATTTTAAGCTGTGTAGAACGTCTCAATTAAAATTATACCCCACTTGGCTTCCAGGATAAGCATTGGATGATGCGATTACCACCTAATCAGCTTCCTCCTAGTATTGTTGAACAGATTGATGAATATTGGCGTCAACGGTGGCGCACACTTATGTCTGTTGATGACATGGTTGCTGGTATTATACATACCCTTTCTAATATTGGTCTTTCGGATAATACTTTCGTCCTTGTGACGTCTGATAATGGCTATCACTTAGGTAAGATTGGTTCCTTAGCTGTTTGCTTTTTTTTTTGCTTACTAAGCAATTAATAACTTAAGTCTTTCTATAAAGGGCACTATGGTCTGCCTTGGGACAAACGTCAGCCTTATGACACGGACATTCGAGTGCCTCTCTTCATTCGAGGACCCGGAGTTAAAAGACAAATGCTCCACAATCCAGTGATGACTGCTGATATTGCGCCAACCCTTCTTGACATGGCTGGATTAAGCATTCCATCTCACATGGATGGTACATCTTTTCTACAATCATTGTACTCAAAACAAAAAAAACACTATTTGACTAGGTAAATATCTCAGATTGTGACTTCATTGCTGCAGGAGTGCTGTATTACGCTTATTCTTGTTTCCAATCTTTCTAAAAGGTCGTTTTTGGTTGAGCACACTGGAGAGGGGGGAAAATCTATTTCCGTGGCATGTCCGTGGTTTGGCGATTCTGGCTTATCGGTGAGTAGGAACAAATGTGGACCTTCATAGAAATGTGAAGTGGTTGTTTCATTTTAAATTTCATCTTAATGTCTCTCGCTGCAGAATTGTAGTCCAGAATCAGCATGTAAATGTCAAGATGCCAGAAACAACTCATACTCATGTGTACGAACTGTTGGCCCAAAATTAGACTCACTTTTGTGTAAATTCAATGACAGAGAGGTATGTGTTTCCTTGTGTGCAATCTCCACAGGGTTTTCATAAATATTAATCTAAAAAAAAATCTATTTCAGCATTTTCTTGAAGCCTACAATTTAGTATCCGACCCCTATCAAATGAAGAATATTGCTCGTCAAATGAAGAAAAAATATATCGCCAGAGGGCTCACTATTTTAAGGAAACTTCAATCTTGTTTGGGGAGTTCATGTTCAATCTTCAATATTTGATGTTAATGTCCTCCCACTCTTTCCTAAATTTCTTTAAGTGTACATTGTAATTACTCTTAAGTTGTAGCATCTTTAAGTTATTAAAACATGGAACATAACAAGTAGAGTTTTTAAGTTAAAAGTGTAAATCGGATCACAGCACAAAATTGCACCCTACTTCCTACGTCGAGTGCAAGGCAAGGTGGAAAAGCCACCACCAAATGCATCCTGGACTTCCCTGGTCCCCGCGACGAACGCAACAACGGACAGGCCCGGCGACTTTCCCCTCAGAGGTGGGACATTTCGGTCAGGATGGTGACGAGCCTGGGGTCGGGGTTGAGGCGGGCGAGGCGGCGCTGCAGGCCGGCGAGGTCGGCTTGCTCCAGCTCGGGCCTGGCGGGCGGCTCGACGCCGGGGGCGGCGTGCGTGCGCGCGTACAGCCGCTCGGCCAGCGCGCTCACGCCGCACCAGGTCCGGAAGCTCAGGCACTCCGCGTCCAGCCACCCGAGACGGTCGCGCAGTCCGTCAGCCTCTTCGGCCGACAGCGGCCGGCCAAGGACGTCGCCCAGGGCGGTGATCACCCGCTGTAACGAGCGTGTGGCGTGACGTTCAAAGAGGTACATTCAAACTTGAAATCTTTCGGAGGAAAAAAGAAAAGAGCAAGTTGGGTTGCAGAGCAAGTCCTGCTTCGTTGCAAAACTTGAGGACAGATAACACTTTAAAAATGAGGGCCGTGAAACTGGTCGCGCACATGAGTGTGGCCTCGAAACGTCGAATAATAATAATAATAAAAGGCAACTTTTTGGAGCTCGCTCCTCTACTGTACCCGACGCGACGTACTTCCCCTAGCAGGTATCGCGGCTCCTCATCGAGGTCGGCCATGACTTCCGCTGTCGACTGCTCCTGCTGCTGCTGCTGAGCGTCCGGCCCGAGGTGCGCGCCCTCTCGGTGCAGGTTGAACACGCGCCGGTACAGCTGCGCGCTGCTGCCGCAGACGTCCACGTGCCGCGTCACGTACTCCAAGGGGGTCAGCGCTGCGGGGGTCGGAGAGACGAAAAGGGTTGAGCGGGAGGGACATGCGAGATGTTGCATCCCATGGGGGAAGGGGCTCTACGGAGCTCCTACGAAGCGCCATGTAAAGCGGCAAAACCTGGGAGAGGGCCGCTCTCGCGAAGCCACCGAACACCCCTCCAGCCGCCGAGCGCCGTGCGCGGTGGGCAAGCCCGCCCGGCACGCCTGTCCAACGGGACAGTATCACAGCGCCCGGCAGACCGAGCGTTCGGCACCGCAGTGGCAGAAATATGATTCTGCATGAAGTTACAATAAACTGGATTGGGAGGACCCTCTGTTCTGCTGTTGTTGTCAGCTCTGCGCATTTGGAAAAGAAGGGGGGGGGGGGCACGTGCGCAAATCCTGTGCACTGGGCCGTGCGGTGAGTGCGGCACGGTGCCCTCCGGCTTTGCTCGCTCGCGTGTCGCCGTCGGTCTCTCTCGCACCCGCACGACTGCGAGAGAGGGACATCAGTGGCGCGGGTGAGGGAAGGGGGCAGGGAAGAGCGTTGGAAGTAATGCACAAAACGGGTTGCGCGATTTCCGTACAAAAAGCGACCACATTATGTCCCTGTCAGTATTCCCACGCGCCCCCAAAAGCTCTCGTTTGTTTCTGTCGTTAATGCAATTTCGAGACTAATGCGCGATGGGAAACGCCAGTGCGTTTGGAGCTCTTTGGAAAGGAATACGAAACAACTCTCCTTAGACGACGGCTTGCGCCTGGACAAGAGAAGGGAGGGGTGGGTGGCGCGTCTCCCGCGTTACTCACAGTTGAGCGCGGCGCTGTTCAGGGGCAGCTCGAAGCGCGCGCTGCGCAGCGAAAACACGCGCGGGATGCCGAGAAGGCCGCCGGAGCCGGGTTGGGACTCGCCGTCGGCGGCGGGGTTCGCCGGCGGAGCGTCGACACCCGCGCCGTCCCGGACGCGGTCTCGGACGCGGCGTTTGGCGTGCTTCGGCAGGAGTCGGAACGCCTCCTCTAGGGCCAGCCGACGCTGCAAAAGTAGAGGGGGAAGTCAGAATCAGAGGCAAAGCAAGCAAGCGAGGGAGAAGCCCGCTGCGCTACGGCTGGGTGAGGCAGCTTCGCACACCTTCGCGTCGAACTCGCACTCGACCGTCTCCAAGTCGAGGTCGCGCTGCAGGTGCGTCAGGCTCTCGGCGTCCAGGAAGGAGCTCGCTACTGAGCGGAGGCGGGCAGCCTCCTCCGCCGCCGCCCTCGCCGCCGCCATGCCGGGACCGTACGCCGCCCCGAAGCTGCCCCCGGACGCGAGGAGGCCCGTCCCCGTCAGCGAGGGCCGCGTCGAGGGGTTGTGGCTCTCGTCGCCGATGGCGGAGACCTGGCCGGGGTGAGAAGCGTGCCGTCAGCGTCAACTTCCTCGATCAGGGTCAGCAACTATGGCAAAACCCGACTCACCTGGGTCTCTCCTGGCTCGGGGAAGCCGTGGATTTCCTTCTCTGGCTCCCGGAGAGCGTCTTTGCCGGACTTCTTACCACGCCGTTTCTTGCCTATGGGGCGCGAAATTGGAACGAATTGTGTCTTCAGAGATACATTCTTTTCGAAAATTCGACTGTAGTAGGAGGAGGTTGAACCTCGCGAGACTGCTCACCCCTACGGCGTACCACCTCGTCCTCGGTCGTCCGCGAGTCGTCGGCGCAGGTGACCACCACGTCGGGCGCCGTCTCCGCGCCCGGCAGCGGGGACGACGCGGCGAGCGGCGGCGGCTCCGGGCTCATCATGACCTCCCCGCCAACGCTGGCCGCCGTCTGGAGCTACCGCGACGGGAAGCACGACCATGGAAAGCCGATTAGAGCTGAGCGCGAGTCTATGCAGAGGTCTGACTGACTGCGACTGCGGTATGTTCCCAACGATCACACCGTGCCGGTGTCCTGGTTACCTTCCCGCGGTGGCTGCCGGGACTGGGGCTCGCGGGGTGGCTGGACGGCCTGGCCAGGGACATGGCCGTCGTGGAGCGGCTGCCCGCCCGGCTGTTGGCCGGGGGCGGCGGCACGCGACACGCCGCCTGCGACGCGGGGCGGGACGCGACCACCGAGGGGCACGGCGTCCTCGGCGTGCGGCGCGCCGGTCCCCGGGGCTCGTTGGGGGAGGGCGGCGAGACCCTCATGGCGGGCGCCCCGGGGCCGATGGTGGACGGCGCCCAGATACCGCTCTCGGACTGAAACGCGCAGATGCGGAAGAGCGTCATGGGGAACACTTATTGCGCCCCAAGAAGACATGGTCGACGATCCCTTACCGCCGCCGCCACGGACAACGTATCGTGACTCCGAGACCGCCGCAAGTCCAAGACGAGCAGGGTCCGCTGCGGCTGGCCAGGCTGCTGTTGCTGCTGCAGCTCCGCCGGGTGGTGAAGGTAGGTGTGAGGGTGGTACGGGTCAGGCGTGCGGCACCGCCGCTGCCCCGCCCCCGCCACGGTCGCCCCCGAGGGCGGCGGCGCCAGGAGGGGCGGCCCGGGGCCACGCGAGTGGCGAGCCCCCACCCCCGGCGGCGAGTGCGGCCGCGAGTCCGTGTCGGTGTAGCGCCGGAACAGCTCCTCGGGGAGGGCGTCCTCCCCGGCCAGCACCCTCTCCGTCGGCTGCAACAGCTCGCATGGTCAGCTCGGGACACGGGGCACGTCCTGGGGACAGGACCTAAGAAGAGCCACCCACCCACGTCTCCTTGACGCGGCGCAGGGCGTCCCTGCTCTGCGTGTCGGCGGGGTGGTTGCACAGGACGGAGCAGCCCCTGGCGTAGGGGTTGAGCAGCGCGGCGAGCGGGCGCAGGGAGTAGGGAGCGGCCTGGCACAGGGGCTCCACGGCCAGCCCCGGGGCCGCCGCGCCCGCCCTGCTCTGCGGTGGCTGGAATGAGCAGGAAACAGTCAAGTGACGAGGCTGACACTACGGGAAGTGGTATCAGGCGCGGAATTGCACATATCACAACAATTCTCGGAGATCAGTGTGCCCTTCCTGGCCTCTTTACTGGAGCGGGAGCCCCAAGCAGAATCAAACCGACCTTGTTGGCGCGGCGTGCGACATGCCGCCGCCGTCCCTCGAGCAGGCCGGTGCGCGTCAGCAGCGTCATCGTGGAGGCGGGGACGTGACGTGGC